CACAAAACGGTGGTTCCCCTCGAGTCCTGAGATAGAAGTTCTTGGAATTCCTACGCTTACGGAACCAGTCGATGGAATGGTAGCCCATTTGGGCGCACAGACGACCCCTTTTGCCGCACGACTCGCATCCCTTTCCACTCATAAACATTTGCCACGAATCACACGAATAGGACGTGAATTGACACGACTTTTGGTTGCGATTAATGCTTTCAATGAAGTACTCCGTCGGCCGCAAGTGATTACAGGCCACCAGTTGTCGGGTGCCCTCCAGTAGACCCCCGTTTAGAAACGACGAGATCTTGTCCTGAGCACAGCCCGGTTGGTCACTACCACTACCCGGGTATTCAAAAATAAATAAATACAAGATAAATATAAACTTTGAAATTTAAACAATAAAAAATTAGGATTAACTAAATACTGTAATACAGTAGATATGAATTAATATTCCAACAAAACCTTATAAGTAATTTGATCTCATTATTAACCATTATAAAATTATATTTTGGTTCAATTAATAAATAATAATTTTAAAATAAATAATTTTAATTTTTTACTAGTATAACAAATATTCAAAATTTATGAAAACTATGACAGTTATTTTAATGTATAGTAATTTTAAATAACTTATTTATATTTTCGTTCAATACTTTATTAGTAAACACCATTGTATAATTAATATACTTTATTTAATAAAGTTTATTATGATTATTCAAATATTATAAATTATATACTAACCCATTAGGGAAGAAGTCTATGTGTCCAATGGCCTGGCTCATACCCAGCCCACCACGAGTTAGAAAGGGGTCGGCGTCCGTATGTATAACATCGACAAAAAGTGCATCATTACTGTCCAAACGCACCGATTTGGGCATATTTCTTAGGTTTCAGTAAAATAATACATTATTATTATTTGGCTCACTATTTGTCAGTGTGTAAAATTGTGGTTGATGTCTATGTAATATTTCAATCATGTTCATAATGATTTTTATTATGAAACTCTAAAAATTGACTATTAATTGGCTCTACCATAAGATTGAAATATTTTAAATTAAAAATAATATAATTGTTTATTGATATTCAACTCTACTGCTTGTGTTTATAAAGTTTTCATAAATATATACAAATTATTTGTATATTAGTCACAGATTATAATCAGTATAAAAATTTATAATAAGAAATTATGTCTAGTATTATTATAATATTATAAATAAATAGCCTAAATTATACTAAACTGAAAAAATGGTTGAGCGGGATCAAGGCCAGTAATGCGACCAAGCTTATTTTTTGGTGATACACTGACTAAATCATGGCCCACATAACCGGCCACATGTCCACCCAGACTGTGTCCAATCAGATGACAACTCGAATATTTAAGTTTATTTGTGCTCTACATTGTAGTATAATGTTATTGTATTACAATTTAATT